AAAAAAAAAAAAAAGAAAAAAAAAAAAACTACAGCTTAAAACAACTGCACAGTCAAACAGCCACTTAGTATTTACTGCGTAAGACAGAAACAAAATAAGAAGGTATCCCATGAGATGATGCACAGGTCCTACCTGTTTGAACATGTTTTTGTACTTCATCTACACTTGCTGCTCCCCAATGGGATTGCAGCTAAATTTAATACATGGAAACACCATCGTTCAAGCTGTCAACTAGTTATACATTGTAATGTTATCATGTTCCAAACAGACTACATATAAATTTACACATTAACGTGACCAACAATCTTCTGTAATCTCCTTTTTCCTTTGCAGCTGTATGGCTGTGGCCCTTTCTTTTAAAACTTGCTCCAACTCAATGTATGCCTGCGTTAAAATCTCTAGTTCCAGTGGTGTGAAATACGCAAACCTCCTCTTACCTGTTGTCATGGTGACTGGTTGAATTGGGGCTCCTCTGATAAAGGCTTTTCATAGTCGTTAAGCATGTGCTTGATTCCACCTTAACCTACTTATAGCTGGTTAATACAACTCACTCCACTCAGTTTCCAACCTCAGGATAGATCGGTTTAGAGTCACAGATTTAAGTCTGAGGATTTAAGTCTGAGTTTGGTAAAACTACTTTGTGAAATGGACTGCTAATTTGTTTTGATGTGTTTGATCAGAGTTTAAATATGAACAAGAAATATACAGATAAAAAGTGTTTTTAGATCAATGAAGATAAAAACGAGTGAAACTCCACGTTTGCCTCATCTGTTCAGGTAGGCTAGCTGTATGACCGGTAATACCAACAAACTGCTCCTGATTATGACACATCAATCTTTTGATGGTGGCCCACTGTGGCCCATGCTGTTGCAAATCAACTGTTCCGAGAGACGGTTCACAAAAGTAACTACTGATTGCTAAGTGAGAGTATAGGTGTCATTCATTATTCCCGTGTACATCTGCATGGATTTACTCCGGAACGAGGAATAATTCACATAAAATGCATAGCTGTCTCTCACTAGTCTATGGGACACTATTTGCTAATAGATTTTTCATTGCTCTAATACAGACGGTGGCAACACTAATACGCTCAAGTGGAATGTTTTAACTTATTTAACATTTGAATTTTCAATATGTAAACAATTACCTGACAAAAAAACACTGGGTTAATTATGCACATCAATATACTAACATCAAAGATGATAAATACAGAATTCCTGCTCTTTTCAGAATTAGATTTTGTCTTCTATGGGGTAAAGAGAAGAAGTCTTTGCAAGTCATATAGAAATCTTCTATGAAATCAGAGATAAATAACTGCTTTAATAACAAGTAATCCATTTAATGTAGATAGTAGAATATGTAAATATTAATTTTACGCATGATGATTATTAATAAAAGTAGGTAAGTAATGACAATGAATAAGATGTTTGCCACAGAACTCAAAACTGAAATAATTTTGTCCACTACATCTTCAATTTAAAAAACACAGATGTTTAAATATATGCATCTATTTGTTAGCAAAGGCTGTAGGAAAGTATAGTTAGTCTTTATTTAGAAAATACGGATTTTGTGATTGCTAATTTTCCTTTAGCAACAATGGAGATTGACCCTGAGGTTCTGGCACCTATCTGCTTTTGGCCCCCCCCTCAGTGTACATTGATTATTTCCTGGCCACTCTTATTAACATTTTCTGGCTACACCTCTGTCCTCAGAAACCATCAGCAAACAGTTGGCTGTGAAAGGGTCCAAAGTCATGTTGATAGCATTGCATTCCTGGATCTTCATCAGCTGGTCCAGTGGTTTTCCCAGCTCAAGCATAATGGGTAGAAAAGGTAAGAGAAATCAGTGTTTTAAGAATTTTTGAGAATTTTTTGGATAAAATGGAAACCTTTTGTTGTGTTTCAACTGTTCTGCAACGCAGAGGTTTTTTTTCTCTAAAAACAAATCTTTTAAAGCTACATCCTTGAGTAGAATTAACATAAAATATCCTGAGGTATGTTGTCACATTAACAAGAATAAAATGAATCTGCCGTAGAAGGAATCCCTGGCACATGCACCGTATGACTAAAATCTGTTGAAACTAAGAAAAGAATGTTAAAAGGTTTAAACAGTAATGGAAAAACAGTCATGCAAAGGATGTATCACGTCTGGTCTTAAGGGAAATAAACAGTGCTGTGCAAAATCAGACGCAGGCATTCAGTTAGTTTAGATAGTATTTATTCAAAGGGCTTTACAAGTAGATGAAAAAAGAACTGATATGAGACATATTTCTTTGATATTTTAAGATCATAGTGATCAAAGATTTTAATATTTAAGATGTTTGGATATAGAGCAAAAAAATTACAGTAGTTCAGAAACTTTTAACAAAAACTACAGTCCCCAGATATAACCATCTAACAATGAAAGTCTATTATTTTTTTTGCAAATAGTCAAAATGAAAAAAGTTTTGTACAAACAAAAGAAATAAATGAGCTATGTCATAGCTGTTAAGCCACACAGCCACCCTAAATCAACTTTCTAATGATGGTTAAATGTATAGCCTCATTAATCCCTTTCATTTAACATTTTATTTGAAACTCATCTATCTCTATCTCTAAATATAAAGTTTACAATAAACCTCATTAATATTAACAGTGATTATTCATCAAGTTGAACAACATTCTTTCTCAGGTATCTTAGGATTATTATTATTAGGAACATGTGCATTCGACAGGAGTGATAGCAAGACTATCAAGTACATAACGCTCATGAAAAAAAAAGAAGGGGTAGATCTTTGGTCTGTATACAGGTGAAAGTCCCATAAGAGAGTAGAGATAACCTAGCACTCCAGTTTTTGTCTCCGTAAAGCAACATTCTGTTAAGGATTTTAACAGGGTCCTGGAATTGACGTCATAGAAGGAAACTTCTCCCTTTTCGTAATCTACAAACACACCAATTTTTTCGATGTTCCCTTCAAAAAATGACCCAAACCATAGACAGGCTCCATGGTTACGTGAGATAGACAAGACTTCTCTGTTAACTGATTCTTTAGCTACTCCCAAGACCAAGTGTTGACTGCTGGTGATTACTACTTCATAGTAGAACCTTCCTGAATTAAAACCTTCATTTGCCAATACAGCAAAACAGCATGTAAATTGCGATGGCAAAACAGGGAACCATTGCTCACTCTCTCTATAGCTCAGTGTCTTTCCATCTGCAGATACAGTAAGACATGGGTGTGCACTATAGGAGTTCAAAGTCACATTAACTGCATTGCATTGCTGAATCATCATGAGCCTGTCCTTCGGTGGATGCCACGCATCTTGGACAGAATTTCCCATCCTTATGTTTTCATCTTCATCTGACTGTTCAGGTGGGTCACTGAAATCAGATGACCTTACCTTATTAATCAGCATATCTACCTCCTTAATGACTCTTTCTTTAATCTGAGCCACTGACTGTTTCACTATCTTTACATTGGTGGGCTGTTCAGTAAGTTGATCAATCTGATAAGTGTTCTCGGGTATTTGTTTGAACTGACAGCTCTGCAGCAGGTAGAGGTAGTCTTCTGACTGTATACACTTCTGAATGTCTGATCTTCTTCTTTTTAAATCAGAAAGTTTTTGTTCCAGCAGAGTTATTTGATCTTCAGCTTGTTTCTCTGATTCTTTCTGTTTCTCTTCAATTTCCTTAACTAAATCTCCCTGTTTTCTTTGAAGAAAAGCCACTAGAGCTCTCCAAACTTGTACAAGTTGTCCAATGTCATTTAATGACATGTTCCTGCTCCTCTGAATTGAAGCTTTGATTTTTCTAACACTCCCCGATATGGAATTCTCCTTTTCTTTCAACTCTGAGGTCAAGTTGTCGAAAATGGCTTTTCTGTCTTTAAAGGCGCGCTCCAG